AGTACAACTCTTTCTTGCTGAAGAATATTTCCTTTTCGGAAAGATCGGATGTATTCACAGTTCTCATCAATTCATATCCATCCGAATCGTTCGAATGTGACAAAGAGTGCTCGTCCTCGACGTCAACAGAATTAGCAGCCTCTAAACTAGGTGATGGGTTATCCAAGTTCTCATCTAATGGTGCACTCCCGTTATCATACTCATGTGTTTCAAGTGCATTATTGTTTGAGACACTATGCATTCGATTCACCAAATCATGTTCCACATTTTGCTGAACATCTACCGCGACAAACGAAGGATCTTCAAAATTTGCGTCCCTTCCCATGTCAACACTTGGGAGATCGGATTCCAAAATAGTAACGCAGATAGCACTTTCCTTATGCACTGATACTATCAATTTAAGTCTTCATTGTCGCATATTTCAGCCGGAGGTATATTCAAGTTAGGGACTTTGAACTTCAATTCAATTTCAGTGCGGGGATCAAGAATACCAAGTTTCTCCTTCAACCTTAACATAAGTTCGGCTACGGTAATACTTCTTGGCACCAGAATGGAAGTAGTTTTGTCCCCTCTCCACTTCCATTCGTCATCCGCATGAACAAAATTTCCCCCATGCGACACGACGAATCTCAAATGATTATTCATACCTGAAATGTTGGGATTGCAATGGTAACAATTCGGAATCAATATGTTGGCATTTAATAGCATGAAACTCACACTTCATAATACGTAAATCAGTACAATAACAAAAGTTCTAATCAAGGGTTTGTATCGTTTTGAAGTATCCAAATTGAAAGTAATATTCTATAACTCGGCAGTTTCGAAATGTCAGGTTCAACATCTCAAACGTCTAACCCGACGATTTGTAAATGTCGAACTCGACAGTTTAACTGTCGAGAATGTCGGGAAGCAGACGGCAGTGAATTTCTGAGGTTTCTTCAACACATCATATTAAGTGTGGTCATTATTATTCACCTACCAAATGACATAATGAAAATGGCATATTGGCCTTGTCATTAAAGAGACTTTAATGGTGGTAATGGAAGAAATTACTCAATGGTGATAATGGCATTTTATTAAGGATTCAAAAAAAATCAAACAAATGAATGCATAATACTTTCAAAGTAATTTCAAATAAATATGCCCATGTTGTATTTAAAATGTACAAATACAAAGTTATAAAAGTAATATAAATTAATTTGTAATTACTAACCTCTCAAAGTGGATGTAGAATACAACACAAATGTCTTCTTGATCAATGAAAATGAAGAAGATGGAAAAGAGGTAGGGTTTCTTGTTTTCATTTCGTTTTCTAATTTATTTGGTAATTTTTTATTAACAAAAATTCATATTAATCAATAAAATACACATTTATCCATGTTTTCTATCAACTCAATGTTTTTCCTTCACATCAAGCATTTAATGCTACTAGAAATGTGTGATTAAGGGTATTTTGGACTTTGCACCCCAAAAATGTGACATTTTTGCTCACAAAAAGTGAAAATGACATTTTTTTTTAACTTTCATTTCTGGTGACAATTTTGTACATTCCCCTTAAGTGGAAATTATTATAATGTTATCTAGACATCTAAATATCAATTTCTCGAGACATAATCCAGTGCTGCAAATGACAGGGATGAGATAGTCTCAACCTTGTTCACAATCGCAGTGTAATGGTTTGACTCCTGAGATATGAAATTAAACTCTTTGTGGACACTAGTGTACGGACAAGCTCTTGTTCCCTAGTCTGCCTGAGTTTTGATTGCTTGCGTCTACCTGTCGCAGTACCAGTATTGGTTCTGCTTGCATCTCTTGCTATAGCTTCTATTTTTTCCCTACATATGTCCCCTACCGCACTACCATAGCACGCTGTCTGTGCTACCTGATTCCCCTCTCCCACGTCTCCTGATGCAGGTAGTTATATCCAGCTGTAACACACTGCTTGCACTACCTGATTTCTCCAACCACAATCTTGACATATCAGCTGCAGCCATGGGGACGCAAGTTTCTCTCCCACCAAATAAGGCAACTCCCTCATTGCCATGTAACAACAAAGATTCGACCTAATTTGCCATAGATTACCTCATGTTCTCATTGTATGCCGTGACATTCTTGCGTCACGTCCAACCAAATCACTCCATTGCAGGCCGTGACATGGAGCCTCCAATGAGAAATTTTTAAGTTCTATAGAGTACTTAGAAAGTTCATATATGTTTCAGGTTGTTCTAGTATTTTCTTTCAGTATAAATGATATTAGGGCGAACAATTGTTCCACATATTCATTTAAAAATGGTATTTTGAGAACTACCCCACTATTAAACAAAAAAAGTGCCTTGTTTTTCCCTTTTTTTTTTTTTTTTTTTTTTTTGCTTCACCCATGGACGGACCCATGTGGGTCAAATGACCCCACAATTTTTTTGCCTTGGTTTTTTTCTTTTTCTTTTTTTTTTTTCAATAAATAGTTGTTTTGATCCCTTTACGACCTATTGTGATACACTTATTAAGGGATGTCAAATGAAATCGAAATATTGTACTCTTAATACTATTTTGAAATGTTCATGGCCTAGTTTTTTGCTCACTAAAGGCGTTCAAAATGGTCAACCATAGCAAAAGTTATAGCACATCAAGGTAGGCTGTTTGAAACTACTATTTCGAAAATTTCGATAATATGCTAACTTTCAAAATTCGTCAAAGATCGTGTGCAATCCAAATCTACAATCGTCTATGTCATGTAAAAGTTCATGTCAAAAACTACATCAGTGTCATATTGAATGGTCCAAACGGACATAGAAGATAGTTAAATATGCGTAAAACGTACATCTCAAAAAAGGATGTCTAACTCATCTTTTCTTTTAAAAAAATTTAATTATTTCATTAGCGTTTATTATTTTTGCACGATAATTTTTTCAATATAATTTATATCATTTTTTAGGAAATTTTATATAGAATATGATGTCAAAAAATTTAGAATTGTTACGAATTAAATGTAATTTGAATTACTTTTGAATTACATTTGCTTTAAATTTGAATTTCATTTACTTGGAATTTGTTTCAATTCATTTACGTTCTACATTTAATTTGGTTTACTTACTGTCGGCTCAACATTTGTCAATGAATTGGTTAACAAAACTGTACAAGTACCAAAATTTATTTAATAATATTGATAATGATGTAATTATACGACGTTTTTAAAGTATCAAAATACGTATTAACTCATTTTCATTAATTTTATGTTGTTTTTTAAAAAAAAGTTAAATTTTAATTTTTGATCCCACAGCTTTACAAGTCTAGGTCCACCCCACTTCACCTATACCTAACTAATTTTGTTGAATTTGTTACTTATTGTTTAAGCTAATTCACAGTAGGTCGATGTTACTTGAAATTTTAGGTAACATGTTTTCATAGAGACTTCAAGTCCTAACAAATTATAATTTTTTTGATATAGTGCAGTAGCTTAGCTTGCAATAACTCTCTCGTCCAGGAAAAGCACGTTAAATCCTACATGCTCTTCTTCTTGATATCTAAATTTGCCAATATCTATCGCCTTTTTATCTGAACGTGACAATACTTCTGTTAAACCTACCTTTTGCACATTAGCTCATGCAAAAGACTGAAAATAGCCCCCAAGACCTGTTTCCATCTTCTTCTACCTTGGGCAAGCACACATAAAACGTACAAATTTCCACTTTGTTTCTCTATGCATGATCACATACATACTCGAGTAGATACATACTTAGGTAATAATATTGAGATTTTGAATTGTTCGTAGCATCTTGGGTATAATTGATAGACACTTCCTCTCAAAGGCATTTTGTCGAACAAGTCGTGTTCTTTGAAAAGGACACCCCGGACAGTATGTTGGATGTTGATTTACATTCTTTTTCTAATTAGATTATAATTTCATAAAAGTGGGACTTTGAAGCTTTGCTTCTCAAGATGTTATCTTTAGTGTTCAATAAGAGAGAACAGATGTTCAACTTTATGTTTGCTTATGAGTTGAACTTGAAATATATAATAAAATGGAAGGGGGGGAATTTTAAAATTTAGCTCGTTAAAAAAGAAGGTTGAACCCCAACCTTGAGGGTCTCTACCGCCCCGTCCCTGGAGTATCGTGAGGGAGGTAAATCGCGGGATGTGCCCCAACAGGCCAATGAACAAGAGCTTGTCCGTACACTGGTGCTCACAAAGAATTCAATTCCATATCTCAGGAATCGAACCCTCACACTGCGGCTGCCAGCAATGCTGAGACTATCTCACTCTTATCCTTTGCTCCACTGGGTTATGCCCCGGGGTGCAAATTTAGCTAGTTATTGATTATTGACGGTGTTTAATCTTTTTATTTCATTTTAGTTGATTCACAATAGACTATGGAGGAAACTATATTGGTGGGAGATGATCTGATGATGGACCCACCATCACCACTCATTAACCTGAAATAACGTCTCACGTGCTCGAATGCGTTGATTTGTGTGATGGGATTTTGAGGAACCTATTTTTAAGTAACACCTTTATTATCCAGATTTATGATTTGGACCAGTCTACATGTACAACGTCCTCTTACTGAATTGGTTACATTTGCTGACGTGATGAAAGTAAAAAAAAATGCATTTTTTGACAGAAACTATTCGCACCACCCATTTTCCCACCATTTACCATTTGCAAGACACATGTTTGCCCAAATTGCATTTTTCCCCAAATCCTTCAACACTGTCGACAAAAAGAACGACGAGTGAACCAGATCGACGACACCACTGACATTGACGTTGGAGACGATACGACGGCGAATCCCACATTGTTGCCTCCATCATTTGCTGTGGACCCTAAACCCAACTATTATGGAGATAATTCGAAATGAAAGGCGGCAACTCCAACTGCGGCAACAGCACGGGTAACTAATTAAATATGTTTGCACATAGTTCAAAATTTATTAGGTGTCGTAAATGAAAGGGAGAAATGGAGCAGATTTTGGGTGTTAAAGTCTTGGAGAACTCGTTCCAAAATTAGGTATTACAAGCACGAGTTGCTATCAATTTGAGACATTACGTCCTGGTCTATGGTGTCATTGTAAAGAAGTATTTTGCTCGACTCACACTAACATGGAGAGACAAAATTTAAAGGAGGTGATGACTCAAGTTAAATAAATTGTGAGGTTGATTGATTTTAGGCATAGGAGTAAATAATAGGATGTGATGTGATGCACTTGAAGAACACTTAATAATTGTAAACAATACAGAATGGGTTGCACATTCACTTAATAAAACCAAAGAAAATATGATTTCGAGGTGGTGTTCATAATTTGGCAGATGAGGGGCTATTCTATAGGTG